ACCAATATAATATGCATGCAACGCACACACAAACCATGACCCATATCCTAAAGAGAAGAGGGTCCTTGGGCTAAACATGTGGCAGTTTACCAGCATTAATTCAAAGTTAAGCCTCACTCTGCTATTGAGACCCTGTGTGCCAAAACCAGTCCAGAGCGTGCTTCTTTTGCACCGTACGTTGCCAACGCACTCTCCAGAAAGGCCGTGGGGCCGACGAGTTGTCTACAGAAATACTTGTACGGTATTGTTTTGTATGTAGATGAAGCTATATGAAGGAGATATTGTCTGCTTATCTGTGTGTATATATATAAGTAGCCTTTTGCCCATCCAAGGACGGGTGTATTGCAGTAAATCTGAAACTTGCAAGCGAAAATCAGACCGCGACGTGATATATTCATTGCATCTGTAGTGAGTTCTAGCGACGTCGGAGACGGATCTTGGAGGCAACACTTTATTTAATACAAATACTTGGCAGTACAGCCCAGACTCACTCAGGGCAACGGCCCTTCTAACGCCACTGCCTGGGGACGTACTGCCTCTGGGCTAACGTGCCCTAACACGGGACCACTACTCTGGGTCCTTTGACTACGGGTGCCTAGGGGAGGCTACTCTAACCCAACCTAACCAGGGTGCGGGTTCCGACCACTGGCCCACTCGGACCCGGCCCTCACAAGGACGTCGGGCCGGGGATTCCCAGGGTCTCACCACTGAGCCACACAGAGTCCCGGCCCTTACAAGGGCAGCGGGGCTAGGGGTCCCAGGGTTCTATCTAGCCGGTCTTCTTGCTTCTGTCTTGGACTGGCCCCGGACCCTTCCCGGGGTCCGGCTTTTATACCCAGTACCCGTGCGTCAGCTCTGGCTCCGCCCACCTTCCAGAGAGTTCCAGAGGGGGCTCCGGGGGATCCCAGGACACCCCGTAGCCCCCTCCTATCAGGAGGGGTCCCGGGGGATCCTGGAACACCCCGCAGCCCCCACCTGCTTTGGGGCTAGGGATATACGACTGGCCCTGCTGGACCCTGACTGCCCCTGCAGGTAAGTGTACACAGCCCATGGACATCGCTAGACATCCATTCGTGTGCAATTTGTAAGGCCGTGGTGATACAGACCTATTTAATTTTAAGGTTATAATCCCTTGTTCACCATGACGTCCTTTTTACTTCTATGTCTCAACAGCGTTAAGGAGATCACGTGACATGAGGGTTCTGCCATTGTAGTGAGGGTTGTGAGTTGACGCCGAGGAAGGGGGAGGAGGCTCCTCGCCCCCCCCCCCCCATGTGGAGTGACGTCAGTCGCTAATTATTATTAATGGAGGGGAGGGTCCATTTGGAGGACGGCACCTTATAATGATTATTAATGAGGGGGGCTGGTCGATGTGGAGTGACGTCACGAGCATTAAGGGCATATTCCTGGGTGATTAGAGTAGGTGTATGGAGGTTTATTGCGTATCACACAGACATTACCACACTGTTGGTGGAGCACAGAAACAAATGCCCATGTGAGACACCCACAGAGGGATTTGTTTAATCAGAGATAGGTGTCTGACCTTCTCTGTGTGGCGTTTTAACGATGTGCTCTCATAATCACGAGGTTACGCTCCCTTGTGCAAAAACAGTGCCCCCTCCCCATCATCGATGCTAAGACCTTGCAAGGTGGAAATACAGTCCATTAATTCATTAACATGAAAATACCCACAGTGTTATCTCCCTCGCCTGGTATGCAGGAGGTCGTGTGTTTGATCCCGACCCTGGCCTGGCGCTTGTATATTTAGAATTTGCATTTCTCCCCGTGGTCGCGTGGATTTTTCTCCAGGTTTCCCGTTTTTTCCCTCCACATTTAGAAACATGCGTTTATCGTTAAATCACACTTCGATGACCCCTCATGTGTGGCCAGGTCACACCTGAAAAAGAGGTAAGTGGGCTTTACCTGGTCAATAAACTCGTTCAGTTTAGTTCACTTCATATGTTTACCCGCCAGACCCTGGGTTATTTGTAAAAGCGCCTTTTCATTCACTCACCATGGGTGAGAACGCTTACAACACCTATGCCGTTCGTACTAGATAGCACTTGATCTCTCTCGTGCCGTAGGATGTGTGTGTGTGTGCACTGTGTGGAATACTGTTCTGTCATAACACGTGGCCCGGGAGGAAGTTTTCCGCCCATCGTGTTTCACACCTGGCACGAAATTCTACATCGCCTTGACAGAAACACACATCCCAACACCAAAGTGACAAACCAAATATTAAGCGTCACCTAACATAACTCGTATTATACGTACTAATTCAGTAACTATTCACATGGGAATTTTCAAATGTTAATCAGGAAATATATTTGTTATTAACTATTATTATCGGGCCACATGGTGTCAAGTACAGTCTCCAACTCTCTCTGGCCTATCTGTGCTATGAAGAAGAGTCATTTCCCGAAACGTCGACTATTTTATATTTTCCTCCCTTTAAGGCCAGTATTATTGACGAATGTGTTGAGATTGTGTCACAATACGCGTAACATCATGGAAACCAGGACATGTACAGCATATTTGTTGTGTTGACTTATTCCATCGCGATCAAATTCCGATGTGAACGGGGAATCGGTATCAATTGCGTGCTGTTTGGGAGTCCAACCCAGGTTAAATGGTCGCATGAGTGAGATGCGATTGAGTGAGTGATATCTCAGCGCAGGGCGGCCTGTGCGAGACATCGCAACATTCCCGAGCGTCCTCCGTGCAGTTACGTGGCGAGACCCAACCGGAACCGTGTTTTACATGGATCAGTGCGGCCATGGCCTCTGCAGTCAGTCGGTCACATTTCGGGTAAGGCCCATTGAACTATGACGCTCTTTTGCAAAGGCGACACGGCCTAAGAGGCTGAACGTGTTACATAGGAAGGAAGGGATTATTACGTGGGGGAAGGGGAGGTTCATTCTAGATTTGAAGTTTCACACCTTGTATTCGTGCCATGATTCATTGCAACATTTCCTTTACATAGTCCGACTCTTCTGGAATGAGGAAAATGAAGACATGGCTGTTTAAAGTTTTTTATGTTCTCAAAAAATGGAAAACTAAAAACTGAACACGTTCGTCAATAACGCTGTGGCCTTGAAAGGAAACATAATACAGTGAGGGAAAAAAGTATTTGATCCCCTGCTGATTTTGTACGTATGCCAACTGACAAAGAAATTATCAAAGTAATAGGTTTTACCCTTTTAACTGGCACAAAAAACTGACACCTTTATTCAAGGCATCATGTCTGCAATAACCACAACACAAGCAGAGTTGTCTTTTTGTTTGCATTTTGACTGCTTGTGTTGTTAGGATTAGGAGCACTCCCTTTAAGAGTGTACTCCTAATCTCAGCTCGTTACCTGTATAAAAGACACCTGGGAGCCAGAAATCTTTCTGATTGAGAGGGGGTCAAATACTTATTTCCCTCATTAAAATGCAAATCAATTTATAACATCTTTGACATGCGTTTTTCTGGATTTTTTTGTTGTTTTTCTGTCTCTCACTTCAAATAAACCTACCATTAAAATTAGACTGATCATTGCTTTGTCAGTGGGCAAACGTACAAAATCAGCAGGGGATCAATTACTTTTTTCCTCACTGTAGGTGACGTTTTGGCCACTGGCCCTTCGTCAGAGCACATTAATAGAATGTATAGAGAGACAGACACAATGATAATTACATTTTAAAAATGTTTTCTGACGACAATTTTTTTAATTGGCATATGAATAACTGCAGAGTAACAGACAAATTCTTCAATATATAATCAGAGCTCTGACTACAATTCTGTGGGTTAGATGCACTGTCCAATAATCTGGAGGATCTTGCCTCTCTTGCTGAAAAAACGGACCGCCCTAAAAGCGACTCAATTACCTTACAATAAGAGAATTCAGGGCCAGAGCCAGTGCTCGACAATTCAGTTCTCAGATGGGAGGAGATTACTCTTACATAACATAATCGAAGCGAAATTCCAACCATTTAAACAACCCCAGGATGATCATCATGAGACTGATTCTACCCAACTCAGCCTTTTATTCAGCCTTTCACTTCTGCGTCTAAAGAGGCATAGTCGTTTGAAGATTTGTATGATGTTCATAATATCTCACTATATATCTGCTCCCAATATCATGCAAAAGCGCATAACACTCAACCTTTGTGTATTATGCAACAACCATCAACAGCTCCTGAAGTTTCTGAAAAAATACGTGAGCAGTTTTTTTTCCCATAATGTACAAAAGCTGAATGATTTTATACGTGTTTGTGTATTTTTTTTGCGTGAAACTCATGATTTTTTCCGGGCTCCACTAAAAATTACGTAATGATGGGGGTTTTCTCGTCGTTTTACAGACGTGCATAAACCTGGGTTGTACTGTCGCGTTGCTGGGAAGAAAAGCCAACACACGTCACCGTAAATAACAGTCGGTGAATGTCTCCACTCATCCCGTATGTTTGCTTGGGTGTCTTTAATGAACCGGTGGTCATCACGACTGCGTACCGGAACCGTTTCGCCCTTCGCAATACCTATGGTGAGTGCATCGAAACGAGCACTCGTGGCATTAACCACATTATTTAATTATGCTTCTGCTGCTGCGTTTGCAAACACAGTAAACAATAACGGCAAAAAACTCAACACATTGGGTGTCAATAAAACTGCGTTTCGGTGCAATGGACCCTGCCCATAGCACATTCAATCTTGGAATTGTTCAGCCACCGTGAAGAAGGTCTAAAGCACATCCGTGAATTTCCAAAGGCGATCTGTTAAGTCGACTCCCACTTGGATACGCGCGGGGTCGCGGTCGCTGGCGCTGACCGGGTTGAACCCAAATCAAGAGCCGAATGGCTCACAGGGATGCATCCTAATAAATGAAATAAATGAAACTGAAAACACCACACGCACACGTGGGGGGGGGGGGGGGTACAGGAGATCTCGCCACCACCCCCCTCCACAATACACACTCCACACTGTACGGGCACACACACACCACCACCACCAGAAACACTCACTCGTTTGTCACTGCGCCACGCGTGTGGCCTCAACGTTGAGCGACGATCCGTGACTCCAAACGCAAAAGGTTGGGAGAAGCGACGCAGTAAAGGCTGAGCTTTTTTTTGCCGGGTGGCTTTGTATGGTGAAAGCTGTGGAAGCTGACCAGAGGTGTGTCCCTGACGCACGGCGCTTTGCCGTGGTGACGCGGGGCGTCTCTTGAATTCGCCTTCACGCCCCACGTGGGGAAGAGGTGGGGGGCGTCCATCCCTGCAGGTGCGCCGCGTGTTGGTGTTGACACGGCGCTCTTCACGTTGCACGCCAGTGTGGACATGAACGGTACTTTTAATGGGGGGGGAGGAGGAGGGGTGATTCACGTTACAACCCCAAAATTTCGATTTAAAGCTTTCGTGACTGCAAGGATTCATCTTCTTTGGTTCTTTCGGTAAAGTCACGTAGAATGAGAATAAAATAATAAATTGATAAAATAAAATAACACAATAATATTCTCACGACGTTTCGGCCACAACACAATTGGCCTTCATCAGGTGAACGGACGAGACTGTCTGGAGGACAGCTCCAGCGCTGACAGCTCCAGCGCTGTCCTCCAGCTCCAGACAGTCTCGTCCCTTCACCTGATGAAGGCCGCTTGTGTTGTGGCCGAAACGTCGTGAGAATTAGATTGTGTTATTTTATTTTATCAATTTATTATTTTATTCTCATTCTACGTGACTTTACCGAAAGAACCAAAGAAGATGAACCCCAAAATTGTAGGACCACAGAACTCGGACCACAGAACTCGGGAGATTTTGTTGGCGCCGAACCCCACCACCCGGGCTGTCTTCCCGCTTGACTGCTGCTGTGGTACGCCGCGATTTGAGATGCAATTTGCATAAATAACGCGATATATATACAATTATTATTCAAGTGTACGCTTCTTCTTTCATATCTTCTGAATGTATTCTAAACTTGCGCCGTATCTTGCCTATGAAAGGCATTTTGTTGGGTCTCTCCGTCCGTCTGTCCGCGAAACTTGCGAAGGATTTGGCTCGCAAACCGTACGGGGGTTCACGTTTAAAAAAATAAAGAGTGGCCAGGTACCACGCCAGAGGCCCCGTGGTGATCCAGCGTTTTCCCATCCGTCAAACCTTAAAGTAGTTAAAGAAACAACAGAGTGATCTTAATTATTATTTAATTATTTCCTCGCACCGTTTCCGCGCTACAGCTCAGTCAGTATGCACTGCTGTAGTGATAGCAGGTACCACCACAGTCAGTATGCACTGCTGTAGTGATAGCAGGTACCACCACAGTCAGTATACACCTCTGTAGTGAAAGCAGGTACCACCACAGTCAGTATGCACTGCTGTAGTGAAAGTAGGTACCACCACAGTCAGTATGCACTGCTGTAGTCATAGCACGATACAACCACAGTCAGTATGCACTGCTGTAGTGAAAGCAGGTACCACCACAGTCAGTATACACTGCTGTAGTGAAAGCAGGTACCACCACAGTCAGTATGCACTGCTGTAGTGAAAGTAGGTACAACCACAGTCAGTATGAACTGCTGTAGTCATAGCACGATACCACCACAGTCAGTATGCAGGGCTGTAGTCATAGCACGATACCACCACAGTCAGTATGCAGTGCTGTAGTCATAGCACGATACCACCACAGTCAGTATGCACTGCTGTAGTCATATCACGAAACCACCACAGTCAGTATGCAGTGCTGTAGTCATAGCATGATACCACCACAGTCAGTATGCAGTGCTGTAGTCATAGCACGATACCACCACAGTCAGTATGCAGGGCTGTAGTCATAGCACGATACCACCACAGTCAGTATGCACTGCTGTAGTCATATCACGAAACCACCACAGTCAGTATGCAGGGCTGTAGTCATAGCATGATACCACCACAGTCAGTATGCAGTGCTGTAGTCATAGCACGATACCACCACAGTCAGTATGCAGGGCTGTAGTCATAGCACGATACCACTACAGTCAGTATGCAGTGCTGTAGTCATAGCACGATACCACCACAGTCAGTATGCACTGCTGTAGTCATATCACGAAACCACCACAGTCAGTATGCAGTGCTGTAGTCATAGCATGATACCACCACAGTCAGTATGCAGTGCTGTAGTCATAGCACGATACCACCACAGTCAGTATGCAGGGCTGTAGTCATAGCACGATACCACTACAGTCAGTATGCAGTGCTGTAGTCATAGCACGATACCACCACAGTCAGTATGCAGTGCTGTAGTCATAGCACGGTACCACCACAGTCAGTATGCAGTGCTGTAGTCATAGCACGATACCACCACAGTCAGTATGCAGTGCTGTAGTCATAGTACGATACCACCACAGTCAGTATGCACTGCTGTAGTCATATCACGAAACCACTACAGCCAGTATGCACTGCTGTAGTCATAGCACGATACCACCACAGTCAGTATGCACTGCTGTAGTCATAGCAGGATACCACCACAGTCAGTATGAACTGCTGTAGTCATAGCAGGATGCCACCACAGTCAGTATTAACTGCTGTAGTGATAGCACGATACCACCACAGGCAGTATGAACTGCTGTAGTGATAGTAGGTAACACCCCAGTCGGTATGCACTGCTGTAGTGATAGCAGGTGCCAACACAGTCAATATGCACTGCTGTAGTCATAGCACGATACAACCACAGTCAGTATGCACTGCTGTAGTCATAGCAGGTATCGCCATCGTTGGTATGCACTACTGTAATCATAGCAGGTACCACCACAGTCAGTATGCACTGCTGCAGTGATAGCAGGTTCCACCACAGTCAGTTGCACTGCTGCAGTGATAGCAGGTTCCACCACAGTCGGTATGCACTGCTGTAGTGATAGCAGGTACCACCACAGTCAGTATGCACTGCTGTAGTAATAGCAGGTACCACCACAGTCAGTATGCACTGCTGTAGTGATAGCAGGTACCACCACAGTCGGTATGCACTGCTGTAGTGATAGTAGATACTGCTATCGAGTTGGTAGATACTGGTATATAGAGTGAGTAGACACTAAAACAGTCAGTATATATCCCTACGGTCAGTAAATACTGCTACAGTCAGTGGATACTACTTTTCAGTCAGTAGATACTACTACAGTCAGTAGCTACTGCTATAGTCAGTAGATACTACTATAGAGTCAGCAGATACTACTATAAAGTTAGTAGTTTCTACTATAGAGTCGGTAGATACAACTGTAGGACCAGTAGATACTATTATGGTCAGTAGTTACTACTGCAGTTGTGATGCCACGACAGCGAAGCCGCTCCGTGGGAGCCGTGCCTGCGGCGCTGCAGCAGAGAATCCACCCGGCTTCCGTCACAGCGCTTCCCCCACCACCCCCACATGAACACACACACGCACTCATGTAGGGCCTCGTGGGGGGGGGGGGGGGGTCACCTGCCCCTGAGTTTTTACCCGAGGGCCCCCCTCGTGGGGTTGCTCCACGGTTTCTTAGGGCCAGGGAATTGGCAGACCCCCCCCCCCCCCCAGACGGAATGACACTGAGGCGCCGTGGATTAACTTAAAATTGTATGGCCACGGCAAACTCACTGAGAACCGCAATGAGGAAACACCCAAGGCACATGCGGATCAGCAGGCAGGAGGGGGGTGAGGCGGTACAAGAGGATGCCGTGCACTTGGCTAAACAATGGAGGGGAGGGGCTCTCGCTTTAGCACGATGTGTGCAGTGATCCCGAACTTGCACACGTCGGGTAAACAATGAGGGGCGGGCGTCAGAGAGGTTGATAATCTGATTGGCCAAGAGCGGGAAATCCGAGGCTCCGGATTGGACGAGAGGCCAGCGGGTTCGCGGCACGTTAGTTTTGAAGTAGGGGGATAAAAAGGGACGAAAATAAGAAGCAAGGTCTCTTTGTGTTCGGGGTCTTCTGGAGTGAGGGACCACGGAGTCATCGTCCCCTGCTACTCGAACGTCCATGAGATGGGTCGCATAGCAGCCAGGTCCAGTTCCCAGCCAAAGCCACGTGCAGCCTCGCCTCTCCGCAACTACCTACACCTCGAGAGCGGATCGTAAGTACGGAGGAGAGAGGTAAGGCCGAGGGGGGAATATCCGTTAAGGAGAGTGAGTAGGGAGAGACCAGGCAAATTGGGTCCTAGACCGCTGGGAGATAGGTTAGACCTACCCTGCTGACCCACACTGACATGGGTAGATTAAGCTTCATTAAACGGAGAATAAATCACCAGTAGACATTAAACCTTGTCGTGTTGTTTCTGCGAGTACGGAGAGGGGTGCACGGTGTTGTGAGCCTGCTCGCTGTGGTTTCTTGTGTTTTCGCACGAGCGTATATTTTGCCCGCGCGTGCGTGCTCGCCGTGCACGTTAACTTGTGAGCCCGCGCGTTGTGGTGTCCTGTGTATTCTGCCCGCGTGGGCACTCTCGCCACTGCGCAGCTCGTGGTTGGCGTGTACGAGAAGGGCACAGCGGTGTATTTGCAAGGTGGTTAGTACAGCTATTTAAATCATGCCACGAGTGGCTGCCGTGAGGGGAGGAGATTCGGAGAACGGTGGGTCACAGGAGAACGGGGAGACGGGGGGCAGGCTCCCCGACACAGTCATTAGATAGTACTGTAGGGCCAGTAGATACTACTACGGTCAGTAGTTGCGACAGTCAGTAAATACTACTATACAGTCAGTAGCTACTCCTGGCTCAGTGAATACTACTTTACAGTCAGTCGATACAACTACAGAGTCAATAAATGCTATATTCTTGTTTTTTTCGGTAAAGTTACTTAGATAGAAAATAAAATAAAAATAATAAAATAAAATTTTCAATAAAATAAAAATAAACGTCGTGGGTTTTTTGCTTTTATATTTATTTGATATTTTATTTTATTATTATTTTTTTATCTACGTGACTTTACCGAAAGAACCAAGAATATGAATTCCTGCAGTCACGAAAGTTTTAAGTCAATAAATACTACTTCCTCTGTTGTATGTATGGTGTGTACGTTTATATACCTACGCAGAGGAATTTATTTTTCGAAGGGGGGGGGGGTTCGACAATTTTCAGAAGCCTTTTAGATCAACTATTTACCCCCCACTTTCTATAACTTTTTTTACTTCTGCAAGCCTCTTATAATTTTGTTGGTGCAGAAATGGACAAACGGCCCAC